CAGGGAGATGCTCAGCTGTGTCTCCTACAATTGACACAGGCAGGGTCCAAAGTCTGAATAAACATCCATCCAATATGACACTGCAGTGATCCTGGTAAATCCACCACCAAGGACATTTATGTAAAATCTCCTTTAATAAACATATTATCTTCTTATTTAACTTCTTATTTAAACAACATGACCTGCACGATTTGTTGATTTCAGCAGGTTGTGCATTTTAAGATTTGGTCCTGTACAGTAGTAGTAGTGGATGTAACCTGATATAAGCTTCAGTAGGAATACTGCAAGTTCAAGGTGAAAAACATTTGGATAGGCTCCCCTAAATTGCCCAGAAAGATACACATCACTCCACTGTGACAAGTTCCTTATTCACTTCTGAGTAAGCGATCCATTTCTCTTCCTCCTCTTACAATCAGTCCAAAGTCGAAGCGTCATAAAACCTGTGTCACTCATAGGCACGCTGAGTTTTATCCTTCCTCATACGGAGACGGATTTTATAAGACGCAAAGACGAGGAACGAGACGGGAATTAATGAAGATCCCACACCAAAGGATCATCGGTTAGACCGTTTTCATTTTAACAGTGACATTAACAGTGCTCTGTGATTTTTTTTTTACCGCTGCAAACCTTGAGCGCTGACATTGAACACAACAGTTCAGATTAAAAAAGCCAAAAGAAACCCTTTAAATCGTCAGTACTTTGGTAATTGCAACTCATTGTATGGATTTCTTTTTCTTTTTCTCTCCAGGGACGAGAAATAAAAGATGTTGAGAAAGGTAAGGCTGAAACAAACTCGAGATAATAACTTTGGAGATGTGAGTTTTATTGAGAGAACTGCTGCCCCACCGAGTGTCACTTTGTGTTCCCGTAAACTGAAACCTAGTCCCGCGTCCCTGAAGGACAACGTGAAATCGTTCTGTCTTTTGCTTTCAGGGGGAATGGGTTTGGGTGGACTCGAGCATAGGGGTGCCCATCGGAGCAAGGGTCAAAGTAACACCGTCGGGTCAGCGGTTGCTGGTGGACGATGAGGGAAAGGTAAACAGTGTTTTTTTACACTCTCACAGGGCAAAAATCAAACATCCCAAAACAGCAACAGTTGTTGGTGTTGTTGTGTCGCTGAGTGTATTCCCGTTTTCACCCTTCCTCAGGAGCGCAGGTTGTCACCGGAGCAGGAAGCCTCCCTCAAGATCATGCACCCTACATCGGTGGAGGGGGTGGACGACATGATCAAACTCGGGGACATGACGGAGGCCGGTCTCCTCAGGAACCTCCTGCTCAGACACAGACAAGGCATCATCTATGTGAGCAACACACTGAAGGAAAAAAGGATTGTTGTCACCAGTGTTTTTACACGCTTTGGACACTTGTACCTTGACGTCAAGTATCTTTATCTTTGCTGTCATTGTATAAACGTGACACAGCAAAGCGTCTCCCAGAGCCAAATATAGAAAGAAATATATTACAAGACAGAGAAGACAGTTGCTGAGGATAAAAAGCAGATTAAAAGTAAAATGGATTTGGTTCATTCAACTCAATTTTCAAAATACACATCACGAGGCCAGCGCGCTGTGAATGACCTGATATAGACACTATGCTGTTAATGCTTTTGCCCAAAGACAGCAGGGATCTGCAAACCTGATTTGGATAAGTCGCTAAGAACAATTGGATGGCCTGATAATGGATTATAGGAAATATTCCTTTAATTTGTAACGTTCGTTTCTCCCCGATCACTTTAAAACATCTTCCCTTGATGTTTGATTCCAGCCTCACATGAATTGTCCAGATTTCTCTCGCTGGGATTTCTTTCTTTTAATCAACTTTGATTCAATTGTTGCAAATCCGAACAATAGAACATTTTAAATGTCCAGGCAGACTCCAAATTTGCACAAACTTCACTGTCGAACATTTATTTTCACTGTTTTTTACTAGTGACAGTACATTTTTTATTCAAGAGTTTAAAAAAAAACATTTACTGAGTCGCAAATAAAAACACAGACGCTGTAACATTTATCATTTTACAGGTCCGGTGGACAAACTTTCTAAATGTTCATACCTTTTTATTTAGTGTCTGACATAATGAAATGGATATGAATAGACATAAGTAACAGATATAAGTACGCATTCTAATAACTTTAATAACTGCTCTGTTTTTAGCCGTGATTGAAAATAGCATTGGATCATTTGTCTGACAAGAGCAACATTAAGTATCTTTTCACTCCACACACAGGATGTACCCTTAACATCATTTTGTTTAAATTTTCAATTCAGTTTAATTCAGTTTATTCACATTGCACCAAATCACAACAACAGTTGCCTCAAGACACTTTATTTTGAAAGGTAAAGACCCTACAATAATACACAGAAAACAGAGAAAGCCCCCAACAATCAGATGACCCCCATAAACAAGCACTTTGAAAGTGGGAAAACTCTCAGATTCAGGGAGATGTTGCGGAATAGAGCCAGAGATTAATAATATTGACTGTGTATAAACACATAGTAAGTGGAGAAAGTTGAAGGAGATTCATTTCTAATGCAACATTTCTCTGATTGTGTAGTCCTTCACGGGCTCGGTGCTGGTGGCCGTGAATCCATACAAAGATTTTCCATTATACACAGAAGAGCAGGTAAGCAAATGCGCAGCTGATGACATCACTCTAATATCGCAGTGATCTACTTCACACGCGTACCCTCCTTTTTGTCTCCAGGTGAGGTTATACCATAAGCGAAAACTGGGAGAGCTCCCGCCTCACATCTTTTCCATCGCTGAGGCCTGTTACTTTAACATGACTCGCCATCAAACAAACCAGTGCTGCATCATCAGGTCAGCATCTGTTCTATCCCTGAGGATCTTTAATATCTGAATTTGATTCTTTACAACTGCTCATTGATTTGATCCATCTCTGTAAGTGGGGAGTCTGGAGCAGGGAAGACCGAGAGCACTAAACTGATCCTGCAGTACCTGGCAGCCGTCAGCGGTGAGCTCTCTGAGCAGCGGATTGAGAAGCAGATCCTGGAGTCCAACCCGATTCTAGAAGGTAGGGAACACCAGCCAAAGAGTGCACAGTCATTATGAAAGTTGTTGTTGCACGGATGAACAACAACAACTTTTTTTTTCTTTTTGCATTTCAGCTTTTGGAAACGCTAAAACGATCCGCAATGACAACTCCAGCCGCTTTGGGAAATATTTGGAAATCTTCTTCAACAAGGATGGAGTGATTGAGGGTGCACGCGTGGAGCAGTATCTTCTGGAAAAGTCTCGTGTCTGTCATCAGGTGAGTCCGCTCTGGCTTAATCTCGTGCGCTGCTGTTGCCACTGTCACTATCAGTACCATCAACAAGAGGAGTGAAGCTAAAGTAAACATGTTCCCACCCAGCCCGCATAAAAACTTGCGTGAGCTTATCATTTTGTAACACTAATGATTAATTTTTTCCTCTGCAACCTCAGGCTCTGGAGGAGCGAAATTACCACATATTTTACTGCCTGCTGGCAGGAATCTCAGCAGAGGAGAAAAAACACCTGAGCCTTGGGAATGCCAAGGAATACAAATTCCTTACCAAGGTATTGCAATAAGGAAGGCTGTGACTGCCCGCATTGCTGGTGAAGTTATTGTGATGTCGTGTAATTTATGCAATAAATTCTGCTAGTTCATTGCTCAGACTGTCCTGTAGTTTTAAAGGTTTTATTAATTCACAGCTAGTTTTCTTTTTCTTTTTTGTAAAAAACAAAACAAAACAGACATTTCTACACTAGATAGTAGAAAAATAAGAAATTTTATGTCATGTAATCTATTAGTCATTTACTTTAGTGTGTAGTATAAATTACAGTATTGTTAATTATTAATTGGCAAAGCTGTAAAACTTATGAAAATACAATTAAAAGTTTTAAATCTACGCACCCCTTCACATTTTCCAAAGCTGTCCTGTGGGCCAGATTGGAGTCTTTGCAAGGCCTATTCTGGCCCCCGGGCCTTATGTTTGACACCCCTGCTTTCCCCTAGCTGTTCTATATCTTGTCTCTCACTCTTCAGGGCAACTGCATTGCTTGTGGAGGACGAGACGATGCCAAAGACTACAGTCGTATTAATTCCGCCCTAAAAACGCTGAATTTCTCAGAAAAAGACTGTCACGAAATCTTCAAGCTCCTGGCGGCCGTACTACACCTGGGAAACGTCTGCTTTGAGGGTGAGGATACAGAGTTAGAAACTATGTAAAGATTTTAGCCTGCACA